AAAAAAGGAGAGAAAAAAGGAAAACGTTTAATGAAGACTCTGATTTACCAAAATTAGGAACAACAAATGTTGTGTTGGAGCTAACCATATGTGCATGTGGGTGGAGGATTGAGTGAGTGTTTTTCTGGCTTTGTGTTTCATCTATACACTCACACAGTATTCAGCAGCTTTATTTTCTGAGCTGAGCCCAAGTGAAACTGAATATTTCCTTGGATTGAGTTGATGGGAGAATGCTAAATCTCAACTACTGCTTTGGCTCTAACCTATGAGTCATGTTGAATGTGGATCACCTTCGATGGTGTTCCTGAAGCTCTCGGAGGAGGTGGAGTAGTAAGGAGGGGTATCAAAGGTGTTGATCTCCAGACAGTCCAGCACATCTTTGGGCTCCGGCAGCCTCTGCACCATGGGCCGCGCCACGTTGCCTGCTGGGTTCCTCCTGATGGGACTGCTCTCTGTGCCTTGGAGATGAAGAAAGGACTCAATAAAACTAGGTTGAGTGAAATATAATTAGTTTAAAATAATAAAGATAACTTCTGATTACTGGCACACTAAGACCTAAGATCAGGCACAAGCCAGAAGTCCCTACAGATATGGATTGATTGAAAATGTATTATTTAACCACCTTCTAACTCTGTGTGGGAGACTCTACTAGTTTGATCAGCCTTAAACATGACAGGATGGCAGTTTTCTTTTTTAATTATTCAATAAAAGTCAACAGTAGTGAGTGGGAGCTTTGTGACTGAACAGAAGTTTTTTTTTTCTTTTTTTGTCTCTCTTGCATGTATGATCTCTTTCTCTTTTTTCAGGCTTTCTCTCCTACACACAAGCACATAAACAGAAGGCTACATAACCGAGTTGTCTGTCTGTTTGAAGATTATTCCCTCAGATCAAAGGAACCAGTAGACTGTTAGATTCCTGTCTTCAACAAGCGCATGCACAAATGAGGCAACCCCCTTAACCCATTTAAGGAGATGTTGCTTGTTGACGCAGGAAATACCAGGCCTGTCATGACTCTCTGGGGGGAATAACAAGATAGATCACTCACATGTTGGCCACTCACGTGTTCAACCTGTTACCAAACACTTTTTTTTCTTATGACCTCTTTTTATAAGTTTGTTGTTGAGGCTCCACGGGGAAAGATGATTGCCTATTCCGAATGAAAACCAAATCCTTTATAAATTAGGTGCATTTGAACACTGAAAGAAAGGTAGTGAATTAGGCTTGTAATCTGGTGCCAGTACGGAATGAGAGCCAATCCCTGCAAATCTGATCACCTAAAGTCTAGGTTACGCAGCGTTATCTTATTACTGAATAAGAATTCCCTTATTCTAGGTTAAATCTTGTGACCAATCAGGAATTAACACTGAAAAACTAGGCTGATTGAATAAAAACAAAAAAATCTTTCAAACCGCAGTATTTAGAGATGCAGTGTGTAGTACTCCAGTTACACACGGCAACAGAGAAGGCGTTGTTTAACAACTAGAGCAGTTTCAAACAAACTGAAGTAATAGCGAGCAATATCGAATTTAGCACAACAGCTGTGAGCTATTATTTATAGCAGCCTATGTTCTACATGCTCTCTTTATGAGCTCTTTGCCCTCTTTTCTGATGCAGCTGAGACGATGCTGTATGTCAGCAGCGCTCGGCTGCACGGCGAGGTATAGTGTGTGTTTCCGTGACTGTCTTTACTGTTGCAGATGGTGCCCAGAGTGTCGTAGTCATCCACACTCTCGCAGATGACCCTCCACTGTGAGAACACAGAGTTGGGGCTGATGGAGCTCATATCAAATGTGCTCCTGGCTCCCAGCAGGTCATCTGTGCAGATGTCGCATTCGCTGCCTCCAATGGCGAAGTTCCAGTAGGGCAGGGCAAAGGTGGGGTTGCCCAGCATGTCCTGTGAAGATCGAACAGGGGAAGGAGGCAGGTGTTCAGGGAAGGACTGTCTGTAAACAAACTGCTTTCTTGAATTGTTTATTAGAAAAATATGCAGGTTGGTCCTTTTTCTTTTTGTCCTTTATGCGCCCTATTTTTTGTCCCCATCCTATATATTCCTGCTTTTGTTTTGCCTTTTTTATTTCCTCCTTGCATTAACCCATTCTCCTTTCGGCTAGCTTTTCACTCAGTGTCAGATCTTTTATTTTTCCATCACCACTCCTCCTATCCTAACCTCCTCATCCATTTCTTTATCAGCCCAGAAGCTTGCTGTCTCTCCTCTTTTCCACTACCACCCCTCTTTCTCCCTGCCTTCTCTCTGCTCACCTGCATGTCTCTCTCCAGTTGCAGCAGATGAAAACGATGCCAGGTGACAAAACCTGGGCCCTCGTGGGAGAAGTCTACACCTCCAAAGCTGGTCTGGCCTGGCCCCAGGTACGTCTTACTGACAGAGTAGTAGTGACTCCAAACAAAGTAATTATAAATGGTGATGTTCTCAAACTGTGGGGTGTTGCCATCAGGCCCAAACAACTCCTGGTACCTAAAGATAAAGGATGAATGTCACGTTGTATTTTTTCCTCCACATTGCCCTGCCTGAATCCTCCAAATTCACCCTGATTGATTTGAAGTAAGAGAATGCGTGGCCTTAGATGAACTATGCATGTGTTAAATGCTCTGCTGTTGCATAAAGCTTTGTAATCTTAGTAGCTCTACAAAGTGTTTTTCACAATTTTGTTTTCACTGATCCATTCAAACACGGCTTCAGAACTTGGGGATGGTACTGGTGAATAACTCACTAATGGATATATAGATATTAATACATATTTTATTCTCTGTAGCTGCAATGCATTATGTGGCATGTAACTAAGAATCTTGAGCATGACCATTAATAACAAGGGGAATTTTAATTGTCTGATCCAGAGGTTAAGAGATTTTCTTTGAGCTGCAGTCAAGAATGGCTTCAAAAATTAACCAATTGCAGTCCTCAGCTGATTTAGAAGGAGGTTATTCACAGATTCAGACGACTGTAATTCCCTTTACTCATGCCAAAAGTGATCATTTGCTCAACTTCCTACAGCTTTTAAAGAAAGCTGAAATGAGAAATTCTCTGATTTTACAAATAATTTCAAAAACACAGCATGTGGCTCAGCCACAGATACTGCACATATATTTCTTTCAACCGACTCAGCTCAGTCTGAGCGTGCAGGTCCTTGGGCAAAACATACTGTGTTTAGAATCACTGTTGACCAGAGAATTACAAGGTAAAAATCAACCCATTAAAATCATCTAATTGTATTCAGCTTGATTATCATGTTATTTTTTCAATATACCGTCTTGTACAGATGACGAGGTCAGGGTGGACAGTCCTCTTAGCTTGATCCAGAGCATTTACAAACGCCTGCTTCTCAGCTGTGCTCATCTGCATGATGTTTCTCCTTACTGGGGAGAAGTTAATGGGGTGAAGAGAGAGAATGAAGTGTTGTTAAAGTGTGGGGGAAACGAAGGAAGAGTAGAGAAAAGAAAGTGCTATTAAAAATTAACACTTTTTTCCTGCTCCTAGCAATAAATGCTGCCTTCATTCCCCAGGCTGATGTAGACCTGTGAAATCTTGAAGGACACGGTAGAAGATAGAAATTTTAAGTCGTCGTGAATTTTTAGGTCGTAAAAAGGCATCTGCTCTCTTACCCACAGAGATCCTCTGATCACAGTTTGGTCCAGTTAGCCCGTGTCTGCATCGCCCACAGTTGTAGCCGGTGAAATTCCCATTACACCGGCAAGTGCGATTGAAGAATCTCAGCGGCCACCTCTCTCTGTCATCGCGCCCGGCGTAAGGGTACTGAGGTCCATGGCGCCGACTGTCAGCCTCAATGGTCACACACTGGCCTCTTCCTGTGCTGGAGCCACACTCGTCTCCTGCTACCCCTGCAGGGGATGGGCAGCACTGGCCGCTCTGCAGCCCCTCGGGAGTGACACACTCCCTCGGGAACTGGGCCAAGGTGAGCGTGGCACACAAGGTCCCCACCAAACCCACACTCCACAAGCTGATAAAGTAGAGAATGAGGTGAAGTAAGGAGTTTTTTAGGGCCATGCAGTAATTTAGATGTGAGAACAAGGTTGGAACAAAGTGCGTGGAAATCTTTTACATGTTGAGAATTGCTGTTATACAGGCCTCCTTTTTGAAAGGACTTGTCTTGTTCACGGTTGTGAAGGACCAGTGACCGTCCCAGAACACATTTAGCAAGATGAAGATTAAAAAAAAAACATCCCCACATACACGCCACATCCACTGAAATTAAGCTCTAGAACAACTTACTCAGTACGTGTTCTCTTGTTAAAGCCAATTGTCTTAACATTATTCCAAAACTTCAGTTCTTACACATCCCTGCAGGCAGCACAAGTCATTATTTATAATTCACAAAGCCATTAGCTTTCAACTCTTACAAGTTCAGAAATGCTTTCAACAATAGACAGCAGGCAATGATTTTCTTGAACCTTTTTTCTTTTTTCTTCCTTTTTTTTTGCAGTTAGATTTGCATGCCTTTTGAAGTTTGTTGATTAGAAATGAATGAAGGAGTGTCTAATAATTTGCAATTATTATGAGCAATTATTTAACAACAAAACAGCACCTAAGAAATGTTACCAATATAAAAGGGGGAATAGCTCCACATGTTTGAGCATATTACAAATATTTGAATGCACGACTTAACTAGTCGGCATCACCTGCTGGGTTCTGTGAAAATCTGCTCTGTAACATCATATGAGACAAAACTTCACTTCATCTGCAAAGATGTAGCGCATTAGTCCAATATGCACTTTTAATTTGTAAAGGCGCTAAAGCAGTCAGTCATACCGCCGAGTTGTATGACTTTTTGGATTCTACAGTTCATTTGGTGAAAAAGGAATCAGTATCATTTGTTCCCCTACCTCTGACTGTACATGCTGCTCCTCTGTTTGCAGAACTGAAGTCCCCCCCAAGAATCAGCCCGTTGCCCTTCTCTGTCTTAAATAGCTATTGAGCACATGAGCAGGCCTTTGTGCAAGGAGAAACACACACACACACACACACACACACACACACACACACACACCGTACACACGTGTACACTTGAGGGTACTTGAGTTTTTTCAAAAACTCATTCATGAACCTTGTGATCATGGACCAAATGACGCCAGACTGTGGATACTCACACAAATATTTGATGACATTCATGCTGAAGTCTTACAAGAGAAAATTTCTGGGGTTTTAGCCATGTTCTACATTTATGTAAATCATGGACGTAAGTAGAAGTTAGTTCCATGATTTTGTTTTGTTTTTTTGTTTTGTTTTCATTTTGTTTCTGTACACTCCAAAAGACGATTTTTCAAATTAAGCAATCAAGACGTGATTGAAGTACAGACTGTCAGCTTTAATTCCAGCAGTTTTACAGTATTTTTACACTAGCACTTTAGGAGATGCAGCAAATTTTATGCGCAGTCCCTCATTTTCAAAGGCTTAAAAATAATTGGACAATTGACTGACAAGCGGTTTCATGGTGACACGAGGCCTGGTCCCTTGTTGTTATTTCATGATAAATGAAGCAAACATAATATCTGAAGTTGATTCAAAGTCCTAAGTTTGTATTTTTGTCACTTTTCTCTGTAGACAAGGAGGTACTTATTAGTCTGAAAAAAATCTAAATAAATCTAACAGAGAGACAGCAAAAACTTTAGGAGTGGCCAAATCAACAATCTGGTGCATTCTAAAAAGGATTTCTGCATTTGCCAACACAGCTAACCCAAGAGGCCTGAAAGACCATGCATAAAGTGGATGATGACAGAATTATTTCAACTGTTAAGAAAAACAACTTCAAAAAATCTAACCAAGCTGGGAACACTCTCAAAATATTAGTGATATCATTGTTAACGTCTACAAACATGAAACGCAGAGGGTTTACAACAAGGTTCAAACCACCGGTTACACTCAAGAACATGAAGGTCAGATGAGTGTTTTTTAGAAATCCTCTGAAAGAGCCTGCACAGTTCTGAGAAAAAAAGGTCAGATGATAAACTTGCAGAAGAATGACGGGAAGAGAAAATTATGATAGGGGCAGGGTTGTGGTGTGTGGTGGCCAGTGGAACCCGGCACTGGAGTTTATGGATCTAGTTGCGTCTTTGGACACTTAATTTTGTTCTACTCAAAGCAAAACTTATAATACACAAGTCAAGACTGACGCAGAATAAAAAACAAATCCATTTTTAAAAAATCGTTTTACATTTTAAAGACTTTTCAGATGAGGCACTTCATGTTGCAGCCAGCATTCTCAGACTTCAGACTTGCTGATAAAATGGGATGATTGCTCGTGGCAGTTCAGCAGCTTTGTACAGCATGAGCGATGTGGCCACTTTGAAAACCATTGCTCAACAATTCCAGTGCAGCCTAAAGTGTTTATAGACATCAAACTACTAGACAGCAGTAGATACATAAAAGGTTTATCACATTTGCACACTTGCACATGTACACAGTATTTTCAAACACACGTTTCTCTGTTCACTCAGTCACACAGTCATATATGCCAAAATCCAAAATTGTTAGGCTTTTTTTTTTATTTACACATGCAAAAACACAAATAAAGTCATATGCACTAAGTGTAAGATGATTATACAGTAGTTAATACACTTGGGAATGTGAGACAGTCACTACTGGGTTTGGTTAAGGTATGAAATTTTTGTGCTCACTGAGCTTAATTTAGATATAGCATGAATGAGGAAACAGTTGGACCCCCTAGAGAAAGGAAGTCCTGAGGTCTTGTGAGGAATTTGGTCCTGGTCCAATATTGGCCCACTCATCTGTAGAGCTGGGTGGGAGGTCTGACATAGCTATTGCATGCTCATCTCCTTGCTGGTCATTTATTTTGGCCAGGGTTGAAGCCATATTAGCTGGGTCAACTGCAGCCATCCTGGTGGAAAGGACAAAAGAGCAGTTGGCAGTGATTAGACCAGTTGAAACAGGAAAAAAGGAGAAAATATACAGCCGTCTGATAACAGGAACAACTCACATTGTTGTACAATGGTATAATATTAGGTTAGTGCTAGCAGGAAAATGGGATAAATTTCACACAAATGAGAAAATCTATTTTGCTTCACGCAAAAACAAAGACAGGCACCTTTCAAGCGATGAAATCGGAACACACTTTCAAATGGCTTGTTCGTAATGGTTGTCAAACTGCTGTTAAGTATGCCGCTCTAAGCGAATGCTAATATTCTCACTGGAAGGTCTGTTTATTTAATGATTTCCACACCAGATGGAGAAGCTTACAAACTGTGCTGAAATGAGATACCTGGGAGCTAATGACACACCTAGATACAAACAGATCACTTGACATTATTGAATAATTGCAGGGGATACCGTCCTGGCTGAAATTTTTAATACGTCCTAGTAGACTACCCCTCAAGGGCAACAATGCGGCTGTCCTAAGAGCATTTCCATTATGTTGCCTGGGTGCTGAATATTTGCACGTTACCCAGAATGCCTGATGAGTTTAATGTTCACACAGCTGCTTTGGGTTTTGTGTTGGTTTGCGTTGGTTATTGTCAAATGGATATTAAGACATTTCTGTCCTCTTGTCTCTGACTTTCAAGGTGATGTGCATCATGCATTCAAGTGTGGCAGGCAAACATTCAATATGGATGGGAAGACTTAATAAGAGAGTGGGGCCTGTTAGGCCGAAATAGCTAGGCTAAAGGTGATCGTGTTGAAACTACCAGTCACTCAGATAGGAGCTGGATTTGGGTTACAGTTTAAAGCTCACTGAAAAATAATTTTAGAGCACTGTGGAGTTTTTTGTTTGTTTGTTTTTGTTTTTTGTTGAGCTGTTTGCTTGAAGTTCCAAGGATAATGAAGTACGATCTTTTTTCTGCGGCTATGATTTCAGCCAAGCACCCACTGAATTGTGCGCCAAAGACGGATGCCGTCCTTTCAAGTGAAACCTCATGGACACCAAGTTCAATGCAATACCAAAGACTTTGTCCCAGCATCTTTTGTTCAGGTACAGTTGTTTACAGCCACCTTGACTCTTGAAATACTTTTTTGGGGGGAAACATTTATTGCTAAAGAGTTTAAAAACCAAAAAAGTATTTAAAAAGCAAATTTTGTTTTCTATTAACAGGAATTTAGGTTCTTCTGATGACGACTGGATTGTCACTGCTGCTGCAAAGTCTCTTAACAAGGACACATTTCAAAATTACTGTGTCGACTGTTTAATAATTCAGTGTTGCTTTGTTATTGTCTGTGCAAGGCAGGCATCACATTTCTACTTGTGTCTTATACACATTCACTCGCTGAAGCAACACACAAATACACAGACTCTCAATCTCTAAAATCTCTGAATTTTTAGTATTTTTTGTTTACAGTTGATTGTCACCACATGCATATTTTTCACATGGTCTCTCACTGCAAGCACACAACTGTAGCTTAATTACTGATCCAAGCCCACCGGTCTGATTAGCAAAAGCAGTGGTATTAGCCAGTAATGCTCTTGGTTCACGGGACTCACATTCTCATGTGACATTTTGAGCAGAATCCCGGGGCTATTACACTATAAAAGCGCCAAGAGGGAATCAGCTGAGAAGCACACAACTGGTGGCTCCTGACCTCCTATGCAGGTCAGTACATGATATTTAGGCAGGTCACAATGGAAAAGTAAGTAAGTGTAGCTGAGGAAAGAAATCAGTGAAATCTTGTAATCTGTGATGAAGCCTAGCGAAGGCTGCCAATAAAATTTAAGCTTTGTTGCATTCGATTATTTTTAAAGTTTAACCCTCAGTAGGACCTACAGCCATTTTTCATCCACAGCGTTTTTTAATATTAGGCCATTTTCACTGTGTTGAATAGAATATAGCCAAACCTTCCAACCCTTTTTTTTTTTCTTTAGAATTGCCGTCTCCGTTTATTCGATTAGCTTAAGGTGGCTAAGCTAAAAACCGACATCCACATGAGGCGCTAGAGCCATAAATCGCCCCATTGAAACCCATTATAAACGCTATTTTTCACTGCAGGATTTATACCGTAAGCATCTCGGCGATGGCTTAAGTTTCATTTCCGTTTTGGAGAAGGGGCCTTAGAGTTGTAATTTTTTTTATTTGGCCACCGAGTGGCGCCCTTGCTTCACATTTGACAACTGCTGGAAAACAGCGGGCTGCCGTAACAGACCTGCGGGAAAAGAAGACTCATTTGCGGCTTGCAGCACCGGCTTCGCCCGCTGATCAGGCGGGACCATTTTCTGTCCCCAGGTCGTTGAGAGGGTGCAAATTTTTTTTTACTCAACCGGAAATGACGTATTTGTTGTCACGTGGTACCGGACGTGTGTGCTGGAGAAATGCGTCCCACGAAAAAATGCCCCGGTTCTTCGTCGCGACTTAGCCAGGAAGATGCACCTCTGTCGGCCTAGAGAAGGAGCATTGGCCACCTGGAGAACATTTCCGGCTCCGGAAAAAAAAATTGTAAGTGGATCGAAATTAATTTTGGTGCCAATCTTTAGTCCATCTAAAGGCCTAATTATAATAACAAACGAATATTACTTCAAATGTTTTTTTTTTGTAAATATTTACTTTTTTGTTTTTTGGGGCTAAAAAAACGGCGCTCCTGTAATAAACCTGGGATTTAAAGGGTTAAAACAACGAAAATATAATTAAAACTTCATATGTATATTTCAAGGAGAAGTAGGTCTAAAATATTGGCTAATTTAAAATGGAAAAATATTAATGTATAATCTTTTTATAGCACTTTTTATGGCGTGGTCGATTTTTGGCTCTAGGTCTTCATAAGGGGTACTTTTTTTAGGACTTACCAAGGCTAAAGTTAAGATTCCATTTTAATTCCGCATCTGTGAAGGTTGTTTGCACCTTCTGCTTGCTTGTCAGTCCTAAAATAGTTTAAGAGATGTCACTTTGTATAAATGCACAGCTCAAAAAAGTTAAGGGATCACTTAATGCATGCCATGCCCACGGAGTCTGGTCAGTAGCCCACTGGAGATCATTTTGTAGGGCTCTTGCAGTGGTCCTATCATGCAAAAGAGCTGATACCAGTCATGCTACTGGGTCGAAGCCCTGCAAAGCTGTTCTTGTGTAATGGTCAGTATCTCTTTCTCAGTTCTGAGACTGTACAGGGAGACACAGTGAACCTTCTTATGGTGGAAAGCATGGATGTGTCCTGAATTGACTGCTGGTACTGTCTCATGTTACTAGCAGTAACAAGGACACTAACAAATAGAAAAACTAGGAAAAAGGGAGGAGGGAGGGATAAGAAAACCATTCTGTTTTTAGGGAGTCTTGTTATTGCCTCTGCAGTACGCCTGTTGTCATTTTCATTTGCACCAAAGCAAGTGAATTGGATTCACAATGGTTTATGATTTCTAACAAGACAGATTGATGTCCCTGAAGTTTAACTGGCTCTGTGTTATACTGTGAAAAGGAAGCATTACCTTAATTTTCTTTTGAGCAGTGTAAGAAAAAATAAAAAGGTTGGGAAGAGAGAAAAAGGCCAGGCTTAAAGAAGAATGTGAACACTGTATATTAAATGTTTTGAATGTGACTTTGCAGTCAGCAGATCTCAAGTCAAATAAACACCTGTGGAAGATTGTGTGTTAGGTTGTGTTAGATTGCAAAATGACACAATTCTGGCAGCATTTTATGACTCTTAATGTTGTCCCTTTCCTTTATTTTTGCAGATACTCTCATGTGTGCTGTACGCATCTATAACACTGCAAGAAACACTGGTGTGAACATACTGTTGAGGGTCACCATTGCCCGCAGGCAGTGTATCATCACTGTAGTCATCTCCTGTAGTTGCCTCTGGTTCAACACACTCTTCCTCACATGCACGCTGTCGGGGCAGGCTGCTGCACGCACACAAACACATAAACAATATCCCTTTATCACTATTATTGCTCTTCTAGCTTACTCTTGACCTTCTACAAATTAACTGCACGTTGCAATGAGTCATGTAGAGAAATAAAAAAGTAGCCAAGTATATAACTGAAGCAAGACCATTCTCTTTTGTGAACAGAGGAGGAAATTCTGACCCAACACTGGATACAGTGGTCTGATTTCATCATGTATCAGTGTTGAAATGTTACCTTGAGCTCAGGCAACATCTAAAGCAATCATGTGCCAGTTCTGCTCTGAGTCCCATCTGTGATTGTAGCACTTTTGTTGTTACAGGTAGCAATCAAATGGTTTGTTTCGGATATCAGAGAAAAAGAAGTGGAAGGTGGCTGACACTAGTGCAAATGCAACAAATGTTAGTTGCATTCACGTTCACAACAGTAATTAAAAAAGGAGGGGAGTCTGCTTTAAAAATACAGAGTCAGACAGATATTCATGCAATGGTATTGTACAAATTTGTGTTGTAAAAGAAATGTACTCTAAAATGAGGCTGTTTGATGTGTAGTCTAACCTAATCAAAGCATAATAATGGAATGCAGGCTTTAAAGGAATACTGCTGGCCAGAGATTAACAAGAAAAGCATTTTTGCTAACAATCAAAGATTAGAGCTGTAATTTTAGGAACTCAGGGGCTATAAAAGAACTGTTTTGAATCAATGTTCCTGTAGATCAGGTGCACAGAAGCTGGTGCAACTTACTTGTTTTTGTGACTACGTTTGACAATATAGATAATGATGACAGCAGTCTGCAAAACCAGGAAAACTGCAGCAGTAACAGCTCCGATTTTCCATGGTTCCAAGCCTAATTCAGTAGATTCTAAACAGATACAATAAGGCAGAGAGAGATAAATTGCAGGGCAGAGCAGGTGGAAGCATTAGATTTAATACAAAGTTTGACATACTTGTGGCTGATGGGCAGCCACAAGTATGTCAAAGTGTCCAGCAAATGTACAAACAGGAAGCTCTTATATGAATATGTGCAGTCTAATTATACATGATGGTTTTTCATAGAAGAAAAGACCTTTTGTTTTTTGCTACCGCTACGTCATTTTAAACAATCTGCCAGTAAAATTGTGCCAGCCCAAACTGGCATGTGTCTAATGGCACTGGCTCCTACAAAAAATATGAAGCAAATACAAGAGGCAGAAAACAGCATGTTGTAGCCTGTGTGACAGGAGGGTCCAAACTTTCTGGTCTTCCCCCACCAGTTAGGGTATAGTTAGCCTGCACAATTGCTCAGTGGAATGGAAAAACATCAAGCTGGCCATCTGCATATTTTGCTGGCAGAATCATGATAATGATCTGTTTTCTTCTTCTTTATTCTGCCCAAGTTTTTAATGTGGAAAAAAACAAATCTCCTGTTGAATATTTCCCAAACTATTTATAGCCTAGGATGTGTTTCTAAAAGTGTTTGAGAACTACAGCAAATCTAATATATGACTTTTGGAGGGAAAAGTTACAGCTGCTATTGTAAGACTGCTGTAAAAACACACGCACGCACGCACGCACGCACACACACACACACACACACACACACACACAGACAAAAAGGTGCAACAAAGCCTAGAGAGGTCAGTCCCAGGGCAAACGCAAAGACCACATTGCAATCACCAATCAATCTACCATGCATGTCTTTGGGCTATGTAAAATACATAGTTATCTATACTGTAAGTTTAGCTTTTACCTGGATCTTTAACTAGCTCATTGGTCTCCCCCAATGCCTCTCCTTCAGTCCTCGGGTGTTCGGCTAGATCATCATTCATAAAATTATCCAGTGTAGGATGGGCATCAGCTGGGTCATACAGGGAAAGGTCATTGGTCGGGGTGATGATCTCATTGCTGTTAAATTTCTCATCATCTAGGTTTCTTTCTTCAGTCTCCACATCAATGAGGAATAAATCCACAGTGGAAGCCTGGTTCTCAGAGCTCTGCAATATGGTGGTTTCAGCACCACCATCAGGTTCTGGGCCAGAGATCCCCACCACATCTAGAAGTGAGGTTTAGTATGTGACACACACATGAAAATGAAGAGTAGAGGCCTAGACTAAGGTTTTGTCAAGTGGAGCAGTGGAAGAATAAAGTACAGATGTGCCGTAGCTAAAAGACCCTGGTGGGTCGTGATTTGTATGCATTTGTAGCAGAAAGTGTCTTTTCTTTTTTGCATAGGTCTCAATGACCAATGACTGTAGAGGAATGGAGGATTAAACTGGTAAAGGATTCATGTTTGTATCAATGTACTCAGAGTAGAAATGTCAGATTTTTCTGAGCAAACAGAGCAGGACTAGCCAGTGTTAAATATTCTTATTTACATTATTGGGGTTTTTGGACATAGTCTAGTAACCAGCCTTTTTTGTTGCACTAAAAGCTGTTATAGTCCTAATTTAAGGTCTTTAAGTATGTTATGATGCACACAATGCAATGCTCAACCAAATCTGCTGAGTCTTATGCAAATGCAATTTTAAAGACCATGGCAGTTTTAAGTTTTTGTGACCCAAATTATGATCTGGTTCTAGATATTCTGCATTTCAGATATTTAACAGAGACAGATGAACTAAGATTAAAGTTAATATGACAGATAAAACTTACTCTGTCTAAAAGATGAAAGATTATAGACTGAAACCTTATTTCTTAGTGTAGGTTACACTTCAGTTCCTGTGCATTTTCTACATTTTTGCAACTCCACCTCACCTTGATCCTTTTTTGTACTGTCAATTGAAGTCTCCAAAGCAAGCTGCTCCTCTTCTGCTTCTTCTTTTTGGCCATCTCTTTTATTCACGAGCACCACTGATTTCCTCTTGATCACACTCTCTCCATCTCTGTCATCTACTTTTGCTTCCCCCACAGTTGTACCTCCTAATTCTACCTTTACTGAAGCTCCTTCCTCCACTAAATGACCTTGTTCTTGTTTTTCTTCTGGTCCATCTGGCTCTTTAACTATGTTTACATCTTCCTCAAGTATTGGCTCTCTGACTGCAGTTTGTGTGGCTTCTATCTGATAATTGTCCAAAAGCAGCGCTATTGTCTCACCTGCTGTTTTGTCTGGCCAAGTTTCTTTCTTATCTCCTATCTGTTCCACATCAGCCTCTCCAAGATTGAGTTCAGGCTCTCTGTGTACTGCCACCTCCTCAACATCCAGAGTTTCCTTTGTCTCCTGTATTTCTGTTAGTGTTGCACCTTTTTCTTCTGACAGCACAGCCTGATCTTTGTTGTCCTCCTGAATATTTGCCATTACAGCTGAATCCTCTCCTGTCTCGTCTAAAGTGGCTCCAACTCCTTCTACAACCTCATCACTGAATTGAGTTCCTAGAGTCTCATCAATAACCCTCACAGTGTCTGCTTCTCTGACTCCAGTTTCTACACCTGCTGTGGTTTTCTCCACAGATCCAGCTGCTGTTTCATGCTCTTCCATGACAACTCCTCTATCAGTTACATCTTCAGATGCATCCACCCCTGCTTCATCCTGCTTCTCTTCAACACCAGCATCTTCTTCACTGATGCCCATATTTTCATCCTCCACTTTCTTCTCCAGCACTTCTGCCTCAAAGTCAGCTTCTTCCTCAGCTGCTTTCTGGACTGTGCCCGGATCCACTTTTGCATCCTGCACAGCTTGCTGCACCTCCTTCAGGCTAGGAGGGGACAGTACTGCTGGTGCCACCCCTGCAGAGGTTAGCTCTGGTTCCTGTGGTGAGGTCCGTCCATAGTGGGTGCCCTCAGTGGAGGACTGGATAGACGTCATCAGACCTAAGGACACGGTGAACAAACGGGAATATAGTACGTTTAATGACATTTCATTTTTTATTGATAGTGATGAATATTGATAATTTAACATACCTAAGGACTAGTTACTACATCTTTGTATATACTATGCATGACATTTTCACATGTAATGAACATATGAAGTATATGTGGTAGCATTATCTCAGATTGCCAGTGAATCAAATCTAAACACATCTATTTATACTTGTTCCTTCACTTTGTCATACTATTATTTATTCATTTTGTAGATTATAGTTAATTAAACTAGTGGTTTGGAATCAGTAAGCAGTTGTGACTCGTTCATCAGAACATCTCTGTATACATAATCACACCTATCTACTACCTCCCTACCTTGTATTATTAAAACCACTAGGAATCCTTTCAAAGCGCAGTACTCCATGTGTACTCCAAATGTGTACTCCAAAGCAATCACAGTAATTTCCAGGAAGATCCTTTTAATGTCTTTTATTTCTAGAAATCTTGCTCAAAATGCCAAGTGTGAGTGTGTACACCACCACAAGACATACACTGAGACCCTGGATGGTTGGACGGCAAATACCCAATGGAGTGTGATCCCAGCAGGTGACGAAGAAATGAGGGAGGGTGGAAAACAAACATTGCCGTGTTAAATATTGTCACCTCAAGGTTTCTCTGTACCACCAGGTGTCCCTATGGTGTCGTTAGATGAAGTAGCACCGCAGCGCTAAATGGTTTTGAGACTCTTACAAGGGTTGTGGTGAAGCATGGACGGCATGTCACACACACAGTGAACTCTGGAGGAGCAATTATAAGGAGAGTGTGAGTGATGCAACCATTTAGGCCTGAAACAGTGCTAGAGAAAGCAGAGCTGAGTTGGAGCCCAAAAGACTACAAACAAAATTTCACAATATTTAAAAATATTTAATGAATTAGTTTACAGAGTGAAAAAAATCCCTTATGTTACCAGGTTTTTTATTATATAAAGCATTTGTTTCTACTAAGATGCCCACTTCTCTGTTATCAGTCCGATGTGCACAGCTAGGATGTCGAACAGCACAGTGATGCCTTATGGTTTCCTATTGTTGCATCTAGGGTGTTTCTATTCAGTCTCTTGATTGCATGATTAGTGTGGAAATCCAAGGAAATTGGAAGCAGGTGTTTCATTAATTGGGTTGTTTCTGTGAATGCACATAGTGTATGGCTAGAGGCAATGAAAAATCCCTAGGTGGGTTTTTTTTTGCTGCAGTTTATTTATATTCATGTCTAGGTTAGCATCACAGAGGCACTCCAAGAGCACCAAACACCCACTTGGATAGTTTTGTTTTTTATATGCATACAGTCATTGAAGTAAGCATGCATATCCATATTGTAAAAGTACAACAGCCGAATAAAGTAACCAAACATTGTTCTGTTACTACACCTAGTTTATCACATGCTACCTCCATATATCTAGGGCTGCTTAGGTTGTCCACCTCTATGTTACAGACAGCAATATCTCAGGACTTTTTGGATGGTTGGATGCATGTAAAGCTTGACTGTGGTGATCAACAGCCATTTGTGTCTTTCTATTCATGCATGCATCCTAATGACTTTGCTTGCCTCTGATGTTCTCTATTGACATTAGGAGATTCAGATTTATGTCTTTGAGTAAAGAGACAAATAATCTACAGTGACCAACTAATTTATCAGTTGACCATCAAATTCTGCTAATGCTTGAATTTGTTCAAGCATTAGTCAAGAAAATTGACTAAAACAGCAGTTTTACACCAGATCTCCTTGCTTACACAACCCGAAAGGGGATTTGCATCTCTGGCTGGAATTGAACCAGCAACGTTTGCTTTCCAGGCAAATGTGTAAACACCACACTATGGAGCATATTCAGTGTGGTTTGGATTATATGACATCGTATGCACTTTCCATCTTTACACTTTAAAATAAGCTGAGTAATTTCATTAGCACAATTTATCGTCATGCTAGATTTTCGCTATCATCTCAACTTTGGTAGCATGACTAGAGCCATTCACTAAACATAAATACCTCTATTCATTCACCCCCACGTCAGTGTGTACTGGAATGTAACATTTTTTTTACCCCACCGCGACACAAGAACACACACCACCACCACCCCCATTCCTCGACCTCTGTAAGAAAAAGTAGTGCCTTTGATAGCTCATACCGTAGCTGCATTGTGATCTGCCTAATAATAGTAAGACTTCTGGGAAGCTTTAATGTATCTTGCTTTTCAATGAATCATCTGATCCTCACCAAAGGCTACACTGATTCTTTCACCACAGGATCAGCATGGCAAAATGATAAATTCCTGTCATCGAACCAGCAAGATTCCTTCATCTACAAGTTTATTATCTTTCAGACTCATCAGTCTATTGGTCTGTTCTGAGTTATGAAACCAAATATGGATATAATCATGTTTTTTTTTAAAAAAAAACAAAAAACATCATTTTTATTATAAAAATGTGTCAGTAGAATTCTCTGTAGTTCTTTGTGTTGCTTTTGAAGCCACATGTAGTGCTGCGCAGTGCTCCCTGCTTCATTTTGATTTTCTTGACAATTCACTGCCAAATCTGCACTTCTGCATATTAAAGACACTCTGTGTCAAAACAAACCAGACATAGAAACTGAGACTTGGTTGCTTCAGAGGAGCAACAAGACATAACTCAATTGTTTTGTTCTTTGCTTTCTTTGTTTCATGCTTTTAAAGTCTCTTCAACTTTTACTTTCTGATCTCGCTCGCTCTCATTCGTGACTCCAGGAGATTTGGTCTGAAAGGTTAATACAGTCACATGAGCTTCACACTGTGCTTTGTGCTACCAGGCAGTAGCACCTCATACTTAGCTTGTGACTAAGTCTGGGAGAGGGGGATTATTACCAAGATGCATACTGTATGCATCCTAACACATATGTCTGATAAGTGTGATGATAGCTTAAAATAAGACAAATAAATGTGGGCAAGACACAGGTGAAAGCAATCACCTAAAATCAAACCAAACGATGTAGAAAAGGATAACAAGCAAAAGCTAACTCGCACATGAAACAAGAGGAACACAAACTTGTCTTACTAAACCACAAGAAAACCATGACAAGGCAAAAAATGAAATTAGATCTTTATTAATGTGAATGGTCAGTGACCCATAGTTGACACTGTCCCTATTTATGCAACGGATTTCCCTGAAGGTGAATAAAATAGACCTTATTCTATTATTTTATCTTATTCCTGTCATCTTACCAAAGGGAAACTCTAGAAAGTGCACGGCCTCTGAAGCTGCTCTGTGTTTAGGGCTGAGGGCAGCAGCACCTTGTGCAGTGCTGTGAGTGCATAAGAGCTGCTATCTGTATTTTGCATGTCAGTGTTGGAATTTCAGAGGCAGTCTCTATGAAGAAAGGGCAGTGGAGGTGAGGAAACCAACATTAGCCTCTACCTACACTAAAATGACCCATTTGTTAGCAGCAGAAGTACTAGAAAACAATCACTTTAAGCACATAGCACGCAGTTTTATGTGGTTCTATATTGTTGATTTGAACAGAAAAGACTTTCAATCATTCACAGATGTATATTAATTTTGCATCAAAAACGTTAACAAAAATGCTCAAGAAGCTTTTTCTTTAAGAAAACAATGTTTTAGGCTTGAGTCATTGACACTTCTATAAAAGACCGATCAGAACATAAGGTCATTATTGTCAGGTCTACATTTTCAGATAGATGTAGCTCCACTCTAGGCTGTATCATTTTTATGCAAGAAAACAACAGCAGCACACTAATGAGTGTCATGCACATAGAAGGAAAACAATGAATTTACTAGTTTTGAGACATTTGCCACATGTAGGCGATCCACGATCATTTTTTTTTAAATTTGTGTTTTTCTTTTGTGTGTGTGTGTGTGTGTGTGTGTGTGTGTGTGTGTGTGTGTGTGTGTGTGTGTGTGTTTTACAAATATTTTATGTCATTGTGGGATAGGATTTGTCCTCCCTTATTTCCTGGAGTGATGCACTTCTTCAAAATATGTGGTCAGGGTCAAAGAAAATATTTTTTTAAAATGGAATGCACTTGCCCTTAAGCAGGTAGAATAACTGAAAACAATGAAGTGAAATTAAGACAAAAAGAGAGCCCATGATTTTTCACAGTACTTCAGTTATTACACCATTAAGCTACACGGTCTAAGCATATAGTTGACTCCTGCATCATCTCTCCCAGCCCATGGAAGACAAACTAAACAACAAAGAAATGGATAACATGTGAAATGACTAGTATGAAATAAATCTGAATTATTATATTATCAGAATATTTACAGTTGCTTTTGCATGTCATAAACGGTTCAAGTACGTAATGTTAAAGTTGATCTTAAGTAGTAAAAAACACCAGTTATACAAAAGACAACAATATACTGAACTTAAAAAGACTCAAGATGTTTGGGGAATGTAAGCTTTGATTTGCTTTCTTGTGTGAATATATTTTCCATATTACATCAGGGAATTCCCTGAAGCGGAGTGCCAGCAGGATCACACCGAGACTAGATGCTCATTCAGAGCAGGGCATCATGCTTGAACCATAGGTTAGTGTATCACAGGTTAGTCATAGTTAATCTTCCGTATGATTTTTCACTTGGTCTGGAAGTACTTACCATACCGAGTACAGATCTGGAGATAAACAAACATTTTGTCGTCTAAATAGAACAATGCTTTTGACTGACATTGCAGGGAATTGTTTGAATTTCTAAGTCATTCCCGACACAGGGAGGCGTTCCATTTCATCAAATCTTTTCCTCTTCTATCTTTTCTCTGCCTTTTCTCCATTCTCTCTCTCTCCGTCTCTTCCCTCTGTTTCGCTGTCTGTAGTTTCAGGAATTTTTCAAAAGGATGTTCACCAAATATCTAGGACATCTTTTTGGGTCACCATTAAAATGATCCTCCAAACTTGTAAAGCATGTGGGGAAGTTACCTTTTTTTTCCCTTTTTGCATATATGGAGATCTGAGCCTTCCTGCCGACACAAACAACAACAACATCAACCAGTACCAACAACAGAAATAATGTATGCTCTCATTATTATTCCTATTTAGAGTTCTAATTTATTCGGCCTTAGTGGGGAACAGCAGTTTCAAAGGAAAAACCATGAAGAGTGCCTTGTTGATAAGGCACGAAAGTTAAGTCAAATTATTCACCCTTCCCCTCTGTTTTTTCCCCCTCTCGTTTTCTCTCACTCATGAAAACACAAGCATACACTCTACATGCACACATCACTCAGCATCCCCACTTCAAGCGGTGACAATTTACAATTAATTAGAGAATCCATATTTTCTTGCTTGTTTATGCTTTTGCAAACACTCTATGATCTGCAGCTCAAAGCAGAGCAGCGAAGACAGAAGCCCAAAACCTTCCCCCGTCAGCTCCATATGCTTGGAACGTGCTTTATCACCCAAAGATTGACAGCCCAATATGAACTGCCAAATAAAACATCCCAGTCACTCCCCCTCATAAATGTACACCCAACAGCAGAGTAGAGCCCCACTAGTGATTAAGTCATCACTCATTTTGCTTTCATTTTCAATTGTTGTCTTATTTCTGAGAGGGGGATCTCTGACTGGAGCTCACTCGAATGTGGTTTACACTCGTGGTTAAGACATCTAACCCAAA